GTAAGAGAGAAAGCCTTTAGCCGCGTTCACACCAAGTACTTTGCCGTACTCAGTGCCGGCACTCAGTGCCCCGGCACTTATTACCCCAGGGCCCTTAGTACAGATCGCGTTCACACCGGAATACATTCCCTGAGGGAAGATTACGCAAATGAGCCGCTGATGTCACTTCGTCTTCTTCTGCTTTGGGTTTACTGGCAGGCCGCAAACAACTTCACGGCGTATACTGCCACCCGGAGTCCCCGGCCGGAAGTCCCCGGAGTTGGGGACTGGCTTCAGTAGAAGCTGCTGGGACTCCCAGCAGCTTCTACTGAAGCCTTCCGAGTAAATCGCCAGAACGCAGACACCTCCTCATCTCCACCGCTCCCATGTTTTCTTTTGTGTTGCCATAAGTTAGTCTCTCTGCGTTTGTGCGCTGGGCGAATGCTAATGCTAATAATGCTAATGCGAGGATAATAAAATGGCGGCTCTACAAAACATTTCAGAGTTTTACGAGGCGTGGTTTGCAATTCGCCCAGCCAATCAGAACTGGGGCACTTTTTTCCCCCAGGAAAGTACCATCTCTCAGCAGGCACTAAACATGGGGGTAAAAGTTCCCGGGATTAAGTGCTCTTTTTGGTGTGAACGCGACATAAGGGGTACTAACGGAACTAAACGCGAAAAGTACGGTGAAAAGTACTCCGGTGTGAACGCGCCTTTTGAGCTCCATACTGTTTCAGAAATAATCCTTGATAATCCATGATATGGTGTTTCATCACGGCAGTATCTGCCGGTAGAATGTCCCGCATGAGCAGGCATAAACTCCGCCCCTCTTTTTTATCAATTCTTTTTTGTAAAGCTTTATACCCAAAATCAGCACTTTTGAAACAGGAAGTGAAATAGAGGGATATGAGGCATGGCTAGAATGGGTGATCTGACGGCCGCCATTTTGGCCTATCGGGTGCCCAAGACAAAAAAAGAGGACAGGAGGTTCATGGGGCTGGCCGGCTACTACAGGCAGTTCATCCGGTCCTTTTCCGAGCTGACCTGTTAAGAAAGCCCTCTGTGGTAAACCGCTCCTATACACTCCTACTTCTCTCTCCCATTCGTGTTGCAGACCGACGCCACCAACAGGCCGTTTTGTCCCAGGAGGTGGAGGAGGTCGACCCTCCCGTACTGTACATTTGCCCTAAGCTCACTCAGTGAGAGGTGAACTGCAGTACGGTGGAAAAGGAGTGCCTCGCCATACGGTGGGCGGTCAGAGCACTGCGTTACTACCTCCTGGGGCGCCCTTTCACCCTCTGGTCGGACCATGCCCCGCTCCAGTGGCTCCATCGCATGAATGATGCCAACGCCCGGATCAATCGGTGGTATCTGGCCTTACAGCCTTTCAACTTCAAGGTGATCCACAGGCCGGGTAACCGGATGGTCGTGGCTGATTTCCTCTCTCGCTCGGCAGAGGGGAGGAGTCAGCTTTCGGCTTTCCCGGCCTGAGTCGGGCGGTGGGGGTATGTGGCAGCGGGGTGTGGTTAGAGCGCCGGCTGCCGGAGTGATGGGAGCGGTTCGGTCGGAGACCAGACAGCTGATCAGAATCAGGTAATCAGTCACTCAATAAAAGCATGTTGGTAACCTGGTTCTGGTCTGTCTTGCAGTAGGCTGGGTCCTGGGAGGACGTCTGGGCCGCACAAACGGACGCCATAAAGACCCCGCACCGTTTTACGTGTTTCTTTGTGTTCTTGGCTTTCTTTTTGGGACAATAAACCTGTGTTGGCTAAATCCTTCTCTTTCCGTCCTTTTTAAACTGTGTGTGAGCGGAGGTGCTCATTAATCAAAATCTGCAAAGTGACTAAAGGTACTACAAGTACAAAGAAACATAAAATGGAGATATTCAAATAATTTACAATTGCTTCAAAATGTTACTTATATACTGTTCTGGAGTTAATGTGCTGCATTTCCCTCTTTCAGAATTCTACAGGGGTTTGGAAATGTCCGGACTACCCCAGATGATGAGGTGACCACGGTTCTTTAGTCGAAGGTACTGTTATCAGTAGGAGTGATATTTACTGCCAAGTTACATTTTATAGTAATAATATCATCTTACGGCTGAGGGTACACCACCAGGCTCTGGTATGAAAACTTTATCCTAACCCTAACCCGAGGGTAAAAAGACAAATAACAACACATTCAGACTGAATGAGTTCTCTCCTCTCCCCCTCCTTCTCCACCACGGCTCATTTCTCCTGGCAATAACATTGACATTAGCATCTCCCACTCCTACAATGAAAGAACAGATCATTCATCCAACTACTGGAGATTCAACGGAAACAAGACCGTCTTCGTGATCGGAGACGACATGAACCCCGGCTTGGCCCACTACATCCCCATCCTCCAACTTGATGGCCATCCAGGAGCCAGAGAGGAACGACAGAATATGTCTCCCCATCCTACCACCCAGCAACCCTTGTCGTTTTATTAGCCCTCAGCAGTGAAAAACGGAACCCAAAACACACCGTCCAAGATTTTGCATCACTGTCTAAGCCAGGGTTCCTCATTGCACGGCTCGCGAGCCTCATGCGGCTCGCCAAGCTTTAATTGGTGGCTCGCATGACAGTAGGCTAAATAAAGGGGTGATAGACAGGGGTGCACATAATAAGAATAAGAATACATTGAATTTATATAGCGCTTTTCAAGTCTCAAAGTCACATAACGCAGGTACGCATGCGCGGCAAACATCTGAAATGCGTAACGTCACTTGTGTCACTAAGCGCCTTTGCGTACCTGATAGGTCATTAAAACAAAACACATATTTCGTCTACACGTGTTTCTTGTCAAGACTCAGTTGAGTAAACTATTTGACTATTATGTCCAAAACACTAAAATACACTAAGCAGCCACTTTGGCGTTTTGTTCCCTGCTAAAAATCTTCGGACTTTTGGACTGGCCGAACCGCACATGCCGTCACCGACGGACCTGTGAAGCTTTTCCAGGAGGCGGGCTTAGATCACTGGACGACTAAGTTGGTCGCCGTGTGCACAGGTGGGGCTGCTGTTAACGTCAGTATGTACAACATAATTGTGCAAAAACTACGCCAACCGGCTGCGGTGGGAGACTCCCCTGTGCACTAGGGATGTGCATCTCCATCACTGAGGCCGATACGATGCGCATCTCGATACGTTGCCAACAATACGATACATTAACGATACATTTGAAACACCAGGCGATGCGATGCGATACGATTCACCCCTGTTGCGATACAGTTCGATACGATTTGATTCAACATTATGCGATTCGGGGCGATACGATGTGATTCAACACGATGCTAAATAATGATACAATTCAATATGGTACGACAGAGGATTTTGTTTTATTCCTTAGCAAATCATAAATTAACAAAAAAGTGCTTTACATATTTGGTTCTCTCTACTAGTACTGCGCATTATGCTGTTTCTTTTTTACCTTAAAGAAACCAAACACTTGGACCTTTCACAAACAGGCCTTTTCATAAGTGTAGTAGTGTTCTCTGTCTCCAGAGTACAGTTCAATGTTATAACACCTCACAGTTAAACAGTTTAAGGATGCATTGCCCAGGATTAACAATGTACAAATAACAACTACCACAGTGCAATGCCCATACAGCTGCTGACTGATGTGCTTAACACTCATCCATAGGCTAACTCACCAGTGAGCAGAAAGCAGTGGTTTCTATAGGAGCAATAAAGAATACAAATAACTTTCACAAACAGGTATTTCATAACTGCTTACAATTGTCATTGACATTTAAACTATTATTGGCAGTCACAGTCTGCTGTAAACTAAACACCACTCTCACTGACAGAACACCTCACTGAGTGATTTAACTCATATGTCTTCATATGTTTCTTTTCAGACGCAGACCCCACGTCATACTAGCCTACTTGTGTACTTTAAAGCGGCACGGCATCGTTTACAATTTGCGAGCGATTTTTCAAGTTGTCCGTCTTTCTTAAAAAATCCGAAGTGTTGCCAAACGTTTGATTTGTGGCGAAGCAAAGATCAAAGATCGTCTCTGCAGAGTGCTGACAGGATGAGGGGATATTATATGAATGAATCGTTTTTTTACCGATGCAAAGACGCTACAATCGATGCATCGCGAGTTCAACCCAAACTGTAGCCGATGTGCACTCTTTCAACCGGTGCACTCGCATTTTGAATGTTTATGCCGGTGCACTGATGCGAATCGGTGAATCTTAACATCCCTACTGTGCACATTCTGTGATCTGCGCACACACTGGAGAACTGCGCAAAATCAGCTGATCACAACGTTCACGCTCTGTGGTCAAGCTGCTGCAGTTTCTTTTACAAAAAGGTGGAGCAAAACACACAGCTGCAAACTTACTCAGGGTGTTAATGGAAGAGTTTACTACTAATAATAATAATGCATTTATTTGATATAGCCCTAGTGCTCAAAGACGCTTTACATTACAGTATTGGTTGGCTGCATTGCATATGGTATGTTCTGGGTGGGGGATGACAGATTAATAAGCAGACATGCTTATTATAACTGTATGCCGCTTTTCATACTTTGCGGTATAAGTGGCTCTCTTATTGACTTTGTCCTATCAATGCGGCTCGCATGTATAAAATAGTGAAGACCACTGGTCAATCACGCACCACCTTCCCCAATGCAGATGTTTATTTCTCCCTCCTCAACTTTTCCCCACATCCCACCTCAACACAGCAACTGACCCTCACAATAATCAACAAAGCCACAGCCAAACACTTTCAGACACTCACAGCCCTCCCACAAGACACATTCAACACAGAAGATGATCATCTCACTTGGAACACAACCACAGTCCAACACATATTCAGGAACTGGTGCAACCAACCCCAACTTCATGACATATAACTACACACACACACACCCACAGATCGGTAGTGCAAAGTAATCCTAACCAGGAACCCCTAACCTCAACCCAAACCTAACCCTAAACCTAAACCTAACCGAAGGATAAAAAGACAAACCCCGGCTCTCAGTGCCCTACCTGTGCTGCTCTGGATGGTCCTGACGGTGGTGGCGGATGTGCGTGGCGGGGAGGAGGGCAGCAGGAGCAGCGGCCTCCCCCCCTCTCCTTCCTCGTCCCCTGAACAGCCCTGATCGATCGCCCGGACATAACTGTGGCTCCGCATCCGGAAGTATCCCGGCATAGGCAGGGTGTCCATGGTGTCCATGGTGTCCATGGTGTCCATGCGGTTCATGGTGTCCATGCGGTTCATGGTGTCCATGCGGGTCATGGTGTCCATGCGGTTCATGGTGTCCATGCGGTTCATGGCAGCCTCCAATGCCTGGGCCTGCATCTCACTGTAGACCTGCTCACACACCTGCTCGATCTGCCCATTCACCTCCACCTCACTCAGCTGGAGGAGGGGGAGGGAGGACATCAGAGAGAGAAAAGGGGAGAAACATAGAGAATAATAAAGAGGACGGAAGTTGGTGAAACGACTGGTGTTATTTATTATCGATTAAGAGGCTGCCTATTGTTTGTCAAAGTTTGAGCTTGAAGAGATACGTTGGGCATTCAGTTTGAAAATACTTTAAGGAGGGCATGCTTGCTGGCATCTGCTTGATTCCTTGGTTTGAGGGTTATTGGTTTGTTCACTAGGGGTTTGAAGAACCGCATTTGGCATTTTATTAGAGGAGGGAGGGGCTTGCTGTTTCCATCCAGCTCTGGGCTGTAGCTATTCAGATGAATAAAGAGAACTGGATACAGTGTCAGAGGCGGGCCCTCGTCCATTCCTATGAGAGCTGCTCAGTGCCGCATGAAGGCAAAATGGAAGTTGTAGTACCGCAGTTTGGCCACTACATACATTTGCTCAACCGAGTGGAGCAGTTCCTGGGGGCTCGGCTAGGAAGAGGGGAAAGGATTGCTACAGGGGGCTGGACCGTAACCGCCATTGTTGGTGGAGCTTTCAGTTGTTGACACTTCATGGCACCACTTGAGTTTCAGTCTGCATTATTTAAGGGTGGAGCCGGGAACAGTGGATGTGGTGCCACTCGGAGCTCCTGTAGCCAGATAAGCTTTCTCTGAAGGAGAATAAGTACCTCTCAAGAAGCTTCTCCCACTTGAGAACAATCTTGTGGGCGTATCTCTTTCTAGCACATTCATTTACTGAAGAGGTGGGAATTGAATCTGCTCCAAGTGGTAGTTCTAACCCCTGCTTCATCTCATGCACTGACGACTCACACATGTTTGGTTATCCTTATTAAATATGTTAAATAATAATAAATAAAGCTGCATCCTAAACCAATGGTCAAGAGTCGCAGACACAAATACACAAACTTATACATAGAATATTTAGAGTTTGGAGAGTTGATGGTTAAAACAACACATGATGAATACTAAGATGCTGTACTGTTTACTGTGTATATGATGATGTTGTGTGACGACAGAGAGGAAGATTCTCTAAACAGAGATTAGAGTTTTGGTTTCTGAACAGACTTGCACTTATTGTTACGACAGCTTACTGTAAGTGATTTACTGTCAAACTTGATTAAACTGTTTTCGTATATATTAATGAGGATACCATTGCTGTGCCATCTGCATTTAGAATAACACACAGTCCATATCTTGAATTTCAGATCTCATCTCGGGGCAAACATGTTCCTTTGGTTTCAAGAAATTACGAAACCAGATACAAACGCAAAAAATAAATAAAACTGATGCTGAGAAAAACTGCATGGACACAGAAAAATAGAGTGTTCCACAACCAATAGACCTAAAACTATTGTGTGAAATCTATTATTTTTCAATCTGATGTAAACAAGCAACATTCTTGCTTTCTTTCTCTGTCTTTACCACATCACCGAATAACCAGCAGGGATTCTATTTGTCATTTTAAAGCCCTGTATCACTGAGCTCAATGATTGGAATCCCATTGACTCACATTGACTTGAACTGAAAACAAATTAAATTCTCAACTGCAACACAGAGCATATGGCGGTAAGGTATTTAACTGGGGTTTTATGGTTGGATCCATGCAGAGGAGGATATTGAAAATGTTAATAGATGCAATTCAGTGTGGTTAATGGTAATTAGGGAAAGGTTCAGGATAGAGCAAGTGGAGGTTCAAGGTGAGGTTAGAAGGAGACAAATGAAGGCTTATTGAGCACAGCTTTATTTCATGCACTGAAGAAGACATGCTTTAACAGTAGCCTGACAGGAGGGAGTGAAATAGAGTTAATCATAGGTGCAAATGGCTTTGGTAAAGTAAATGTTGCCAACACCACGTTGTTTTGAATTGGCTCAAAACATGACTGAACAATTATAATGTTTTGATCATGGGCAACCCTTTAAATGTATGAACAATAAGTCTATAACGATCAGTGCTGTTTGCAGCTTCTTCAATTAGCATGTGGCCACACACATTCCTCTACATAAGTAATAATAAAGTTGATTTAAGAGAATACAACACATGTGGTGCACTGTCACCTCTTCTGCCGTATTTCTGTAGGTTTTCTTATCGTCAACAAACCATAGAAAGACCCCTACCAACGTCTCTCAATACTTCTGATTTCACTTCCTGTCTGCTCTCGGCTATGAAGACATTTATCTTTAAGGATTAATGGTGAAACATTTATAGGTTTATTCAATAAAAAGTTATTATGTCTGTCATTTCATGTTTTTTCACGTCTGGTCATGTGTGTTTATTTAGATCATTTATCTCTCGTCAGTCTCTGTGTTTATTGTCATGTCTGGTTTTCCATTTCCTGTTTTATTTTGTACTTACCTCTTGTCTTTCATTTCAGGCCCTGTTTCTTCCTCCCCTTGTGTGTTTTTCCCGCCATCATCAGTGTCTGCCCCGCCCCTGATTGTCTCCACCTGTTCCCACTCACCTCATGTTTAAATAGTCCTGTCTCTCCCCTGTCCTGTGTCAGTTCGTCTTGTTTGTTTCTCTGAATGGTCGTGCCAAGCCTCAGCTCAGAAAGGATCGCTTTTCACTCATGTCAGGTTTTGTTTCTTTTGTTAATTTTGTAGGCTTACGTTTTTCTTAAGGTCTCGTTTTGTTATGCTTAGTTTTTTCCTCCTTGTGAGCGCTTTTTGTTATTTCCACCACCTACTCTGTTCAGAGGGATTATCTGATCTTTGGAATTCAAAATACATTTTGTTACATTCAAGACGTTGTCTCTGGGTCGTGCATTAGGGTTCATCAGTTTGTATCGAGGTCGTGACATATTTGTTGACAAAAAGAAAATGTATAAAATATCACCAGTCATAGCCATTAAGATGACACTTGTAATGTGATGGATGGATTTGTGGACTTGGACACACGACTCTCACCCTCCAGAACACACAGGCTCAGACAGTATCTAAACCATTATCAAAAAATGAAGAATTCACTGTTTTTCTATCCGAACGGTGCCCTAATATTTATTATAGGCCTAAGCAGTGGTAAAGTGAAAGGAGTGTGTACTGTAGGGCTGTGCAATTAATCGTATTTTAATCGCAATTACGATTTTGGCCTGCCACAATTACGAAAACAACATAATCGAAAAAAACAATTATTTAGCTTTGCTTGGTTGTGACACTGCAACATATTTGATCTAATTAATTTTGGTCTCATTTATTTGTATTTATCATATTGATATATGTTTAGTAGCTTGTTGAAGTGCGCTCCAAAATATTTGTTGATCTTGTTTATTGGTATTTATTATTTTGATATGATTTATTTAAATGTATCATTTATTTTTGTATTGGTTTTTCAGTTGAATTATACGTTCAGGGTAATCAACAGTTAAAAAGATACTGTTCAAATTATTGTTTGTATTTGTTTTAAAGTTCAATAAATGGATGTTTTCAAAGTCAATGAATAATCGTATTTAATAATCGTGATATCAATTATTGACCCAAATAATCGTGATTATGATTTTTGCCATAATCGCACAGCCCTAGTGTACTGTGGACAAAGACAGCTACTTCAAGTTTTAAAAATGAGTTTTTAATAGACTATACTAATAGTCACAATGCAATTACATTTGGAAGGACTTGTGTTTGCCAATCAAATATATCCACATAAATAAAGCATTGTTTTTTTTAAATTGTCTACTTAAAGTCGGCTTACATGACTCTATGGTAGTTTTTAGGTTGTGCCCATCCATGCCAGCATGAATTATCAATAACCAGATTTAGAGGCAACAAACTAAATAGTACTTTTATTCATTTTGGTGTGTTTAATGGAAGATAAAACCTTTCAATCAAATATTCCACAACCCAGAATGCTCCAGACGCCTGCTATATAATAATTCACCATTAATGTTTTGAATGAATAGGTGCCTGCTGCCACCAACATGATGGCAAACACATTGTTATACAAATTATGATGAACAATAAATAATAGAAATTGTCCAACAAAGCTTCAGTAAAAGTGTCTCAGAAAGGACACTTTGGGGAAGATGTATTAAGTATAAATATTGAATATTTTAATTAAGTCTTGGAAAACAGTGAACCCGTCCTTTAAAGATGGTGAAAGACAGAAATAGGCGGCATGACCACATCCCAGATGAATAAATCAGATCTGAAAAGTTATGGCATAAAATGGAAGTCAATGATTTATTTGAAGTGGTAAACACTACTCCCCACATACTCCATCACTTCCATCCAAGCCTGATTGTGATGTGTATGGCAGAATGACTGGGTGGGGAATACTGTAAATGTAAAGGCATCAGTGTTGGCAACCAACCTGACTGATGGTGCTCATGGCCCTCATGTAGCTTTCATTGCGTGAGCGGTATTGGGGTGAGGACAGCAGCGATTTGGGGTCGAGGAGGGTTTTGGGGTCCAGGGTATCCAGGCTTCTATTGATTGAAACCTCACTCACCGCACGAAGGTAACTGTGGCTCCTGATCTGCAGTTTGGGGGAGTGCTCCGTCGAAATCCTGACAGAGGGACGACAGGGACTTAGAGTTAGACACATAGACACATTTATACATAACAATACTCCATTTCAGTCAGAGAAGTGGTCCCCATCAATGTTACTTAGAAAACCACTATATTCAACCAGGGCTCATTAGGGAAGGGTTTCAGCTACTGAATTCATTCATCCACCACACTAATATAACGTTTCATCCAGAGTTCCCGTTAGCCGGTAATTACCGGACAATGACCGGTAAAATATGCTGAAGTCCGGCAAATCTAAATCTCTCCGGTCAAAATGTCCGGTCAAAATAATTTTCCCTTAGCGCAATACCGCATCAGTTGCGCCACTTATGTGACAGACAAGAATAGTATGTGACAGACAAAAGAGTATGTGACAGACAAAAATTGTCAATTCTAATGTCTAACACTTAATGTGGAGAAAGAGATGTCCTGTATGGGTTGATTGTGCGTTGATCTGTTGGTAATGCCTCGGGGTTCCGGTGGGCATGTAAACAAATGCATAATGCTGCGCTATACTTTGTGGCCTCATCCGGTTGCATAGCGACGCTTATTGTTTAGGTGTCTTTTAACAAGCAGGTAGTCATATCATTAGCTAGAACTAGCTAGATCTGATCGATATGGACATAAATGCGAGTAAAGTCTAATCTGACAGGAGAGAGAGATCGGCTGCTGCTGACGAGTCGACACGCAGCTCTGCATGATCCCCTGCAGCGGCGAGCAGAGCAAAACACACTTCAGGTTAGAAAATCACACGTAGCTATTTTAATTACCTCTCAAACTACCTAAACTAGTTATAGATATGTTTAGTTTTACTGTCGGGTCACTCATTACTGGATCCGCGAGCTGCATGATACTGACGGGCTGTCAGGAGAAGGAGAGAGCGCTCCGTTTATTATTCCCGCGTTTTTGTAAATTACTGTACACTTTTGAATAATGTAGTTAATCTACTATAATTAGTTTGTTTAATGTCGAATCATATCAATTTGTTTTAAAGCTCAATAAATAACAAAGAAGACCTTTAACCGGCACTTATCTAATTTTGTCCGGAAGATTTCAACTTTAACGGACATGTTGACCGGCAAAAAAATATTCTAACGGGAACTCTGGTTTCATCTTAGAATTGCTGTTTGCGTGCCTGTGTCCAGAGCGCCTTCTTCTGAGCGCCAGCATCTTTTTTCTGTTGTTTTCAATGAGAGAGCGCATGCCATCTATTAGCTGCGTATTTGTGTAATTTCTCTGAGTGAACCACGGTTTTCATCTTAACTCTCCAAGTGCTTGAAGTTGAAAATATGAAAACATTTGAGAAAAGTGCTGGTGATGTCACTTTAGGAGAAGTTTGTTTTCATCATAACACAGACTTAAAGACCACAAACAGAGAATAGAATCCAAGGGGGCGAAGCTAGTGGGTCGTACGACAGCAGTGATACATTGTTAAGATATCAGAGACACAATAAAAGAAAGAAACACTATGTATAGCCATGCATTCCGATGACTCATCACTTCCTCTTGTTTCCCACCCCTGGTGATCACAGTTTATATTCCCATATGCAATATATGACCTCAGAGCCACTCAGTTGGTAGAGCCACACTTAAATACTGCAAGTTAGAAAGTATGTGAGCTATGAAAGTTTCAAAATGAAACAAAGTCTTTGCTGAACCTAACAGACATGATGCCATTATGTTCTTCCTGAATATGTATGACTAAATCCTTGAGTGTCTTAAAGGGAAGCTGTTTATGACTAATGTAAGTGATTTTCTAAATGAACCCAGGTCATTGAAAAAGCAAACTAATATACATATATATAACGTGTGGGATTTAATCATTGATTGTTTCAATCCAACTTATAATGAATAGCAATTTTGCATATTTAGAAACGCTCCCACACACTCTTCAAAAATTAGGACTCTGGATTCAGCTGTCAAAGCACATTCTGCACACTTTTGACCATAACATTATGGTATGTTCTCTTGAAGAACATTATCAACAATCAACAAGATAATGATATGTTACAACATTCTATTATGTGCAGTGGAGAGAGATGGGAGGTTCTCCTAAAGATAAAGGTTGTTTTGGACACGCATGAATTACTTTAATAGAATTTACAGTCAAAATGTGAATTCATGCAACTTCTCAACAATTCTTAAAATATAATAGAAAATTGACTTTTCTTTAAAAACAAAAACTTCTGTTTAAAGATGGTGTACAGCGACTGTTGGTATCTAGTCAAAGGCACCACGTACGGTGGCCAACAGATGCGAACGCGTCCAATGATGCCAGTGTAAAAACTAAAATGTGTCAAAACACATTCAAATGAAGAAACATCTTCTCCAACTTGACAATACATGCACTGCGTTTACTGAAACCACTGCATAAATCAAACGCTGCAGATACAAACACTGCAAGGAGCTCAAAACACAGCAGACACGGGGACACTGAAAAGTGACGCACACAGCTGGGACTGGAGCGCTTTGTGACGTTCGGGGATTATAAAGATGGCCAACTCTCACTGATTAATAATGGGATCGCATGAGTCCTTCTGATAAATCTAAGTTAGCTAGGTAAGCTAGCCCCAAATGTCAACAAGCACTCTGGTCCCAGCTGTGTGCGTCACTTTTTAGAGTCCCCTGGTTTCCGTTGTGTTCTGGGGCCTCATTTATAACGCCTTGCGTAGGATTGACGTAGGAAGGTTGCTTACGTAGTACAAAGCAAAAAAATAGGTACATACATTTTCCGACATTTTCCGATTCACAAAACATTGCGTACCGGCGAGGGAAGTGTGTACGGCACTTCCTACGCCTGTTTCCCTTGATAAATCACAATCGACTCGTAACGCCCATATTTGCTTATAAATAGTCAAAGAAACGCCAATTCATTCATTCATTGTGACTGACTGCATGAAGAAGATCGCAGGAAATTACGACCGAACAGCTAAAAAAGACATCTCACACCGTGTCAGATTTTGGTTATTGTGGGGAGGTGGAGATAAATCATATTGTTTGGTGGATGCAGTTTGAACCAGAGTAGCAGCATGGAGGTCGGATCGTCACCAAAATAAATAAATAAGTGGTCCGAAAAAAGTTAATGACAAAAAACATACACATAACCTTCCTCAGGCAGTGTGTTTGTCCCGGGGACAGGAGACACCCCCTTGATGAGAAACTGTAAGAAATGATGGGGGAATCCCTCCGGAGTGTAGTCATGACGACTGGATCTGAATTATTTTGTTGTATTTGGTGGTTTGTGTTCCAGCTGTCGATCAGCAACTATATATCCATAATCCACCAGTTAAAGGAAATACAATGTGTTGTGTTATATTAGCTGTACAATTTACCGCATATGGTGTTCTTAGTTTCCATACCTCCTGTGTTTTACGAGCGACTTATCAAGTCTTGGCAAACGGCATAAAACACGATTAAACGTGATAGTATATAAAACCATGCTCGTATCTACAACCTATAGAAATGCAAAACGGCGTTAGTTTAGACGTTATTCTGTCCTCCTGCTTACCGCATCATTTATGAGAAAACATTTCATAACATGAACACAACATATTCGAGGTGGATTTAAATAGCATATCCGTATTTATTTATTTCTCCAAGTTATGTTTTTGTGTGCACTGAGGAGTCTCAAACAGGCGTTTGTTTAATCATTTTAAGATTGGCTTTAATCAATGTTTGAAAATGAATTCTTCATATTTGATAAATGAGAGGTAACATTTTATTTATGGTATTATTTCCACATATTTCTCTCCATTCTTCCTTCTGCCAACGGTGTCGCAGTTTCTCGTCTCTCCCGTTTGTGTGCTTAGTGCGTACGCATGGGTTAGAGTTTGCGTGGAGGACCGCACATTTTCCCGTTAGTTAGTATTTTATAAATCGCAAACATTGCGTAGAAACTGGCGTACGCCATTTTTTGAGCGTATATCCCTTTATAAATGAGGCCCCAGAGCTTCTTGCTCAAGTCCTCAAGTTGGTGAATTTTTCTAGATGCTGCGCATATGTTTCAAGTTCATGAAGATGTTTCTTAATTAGCATGTGTTTTGGCACATTCAGTATTTTCTATATTGACATTGCTTTTTAATGGTTTCTCCGAAAATGATCTGAAGCACAATGAAGTAAAACATTTTTTATTTAAGATGGCAAATGCCAAATAATTGAGCTGAAGGTGCAAGGAAGCAAAGAACCAAAGTATTTTAAACACATAAATAACTCTGGTCATAGAGAAGGAGGACTGTTTCCGTCCAGGTTTAGTTGTATGTGTGTTGATTTAAGAAAACCCATGCATAGAGAGGGAGTGTGTGTGTGTGTGTGTGTGTGTGTGTGTGTGTGTGTGTGTGTGTGTGTGTGTGTGTGTGTGTGTGTGTGTGTGTGTGTGTGTGTGTGTGTGTGTGTGTGTGTGTGTGTGTGTGTGTGTGTGTGTGTGTGTGTGTGTGTGTGTGTGTGTGTGTGTGTGTGTGTGTGTGTGTGTGTGTGTGTGTGTGTGTGTGTGTGTGTGTGACAGAGTGTGTGACAGAGTGAGAGGAGACGACAGAAGAAGCCGAGCGGCCGTCCCTTGACTGCTCTCTGTAATTACTCTCACTATTTAGAGAGCTGTGAAAGCTTAATTAAGCAAAGGTGATATTCTGCTTCCTGCTGTAGATCACACTGCAGATTACTCCTCTCTCTGGGGATGATTTACCATCTCACACACACACACACACACACACACACACACACACACACACACACACACACACACACACACACACACATTTTAGCAGCTCTTTATATATATCTATATATATATATATAAATAGTATGTATAGGCTTTTAATTCACCAAAGGCCACATATAATTAGAATCCTATTTAATTTACTTCACAATAACCATCCAAATAAAACGGTTAACGTAACATTTTTTAACCATTACGTGTTAACAATATCTTCTCCATATTTGTAATCTTTCAATCATTCATCGAATGCTTCCTTATATACAGTGTATCGGTTCAAAGTAAACCGATACAGTAAATGTTTTTCTCTTTTTGGTCCACATAGCAAACTCTAGTGGTAATATTGACATACAAATAAAATGAAATGCAAATCAGGCTTTCTGTCCAGGCCAAAGTTGTTTTTACTACGGGATGAGGATAACTCCATGTAGCCTTCCTTACTGACTTTTGGTGATACTGTTTACAGGTGGGCCTCTCCTGAAGCTGCTCCTCTGTCAAACCTGACCTCCTGACATTAACATATATTTCCTACCGACTAAAGACAGAGGTTTTTCATTTAACAATCGTAATCTGGCACAAATTGCCTTCTATCAGTACCAAAGCTGACAACACACTGACAAACCTGTCCTATACGGCCGTGGAGCCTTCTGCATCTGCAAGCTTTCACTTTAGAGAACTATCTCTTTAGATGATTTTAAACTAAAAGTCGGTGATCACTATTAGCTGCAGTTGCTGCAACTATCCAACAAACGTAGAATAAATAATATAATATAAAATATGTAAATCTGTCTAGGCTGGCACTTTAGAGGCTTAAGTCTTAATGTGACTACAAATGAAGGCCCCGTCCACACGGAGACGATTTCAGTTGTATCCGCTAAAGTTCTTTATCATATAGACCAGGGGTCGGCAACCTTTTTGATATGAAGTGCCATTCTAAAAAAAAAAATGTATCAGCGTGCCGACGATCGTGAATTATCAACGGGGGGGGGGGGGGGGGGCGGGGGGAGAGGGTGTTGAAGAGCTCGACGAAAACACTCGTGAAAAGTGATGTTTAAAACTCAGTTAATGCTCATTCACTGGCGCTTCCACAAACAACAACACCAACATAATTGTTACATTAAAATGAAGTAGCCTATATTATTCAAGTTTACATTAACTTTGGATAATAACACGGGGGAAATGAGCGGAAGCGCTCTCTTTTCCTCTCTCCCCCTCTCTCTCTCTGACAGCCTGTCAGTATCTCATGCAGCTCACTGATCCAGTAATGAGTGACAGTGAAGAATAAATATATTTATAACTAGTTCCAAAGGTAGATCAAATAGCTAAGTGTGTTAGGTCTAACTCTTAATGTGTGTTCTGCTCCGCTCACCGGTCCGTCACAGCGGGTGGAGCTGCAGGATTTATGCTTCACACACGTTGCATACCGCTATTTTATTGTCTTTTTCGGACACCTTAAAATACTGCCAGACTGGTGAAGCGATTTTGGCGAGCTTGTTTTGCCGCACACAGAGAAAAGTGTCATGTATGTTACGTCTCGCGATCGGCCTTTTTGAGTGGGGCTGCGTTGCGCGCATGGCTTCCTTCTGCAGGTAACGGGGAGACGCGCTCTGGCGGCGGTCTCGTTCAGGATCCGAAAATAAAATAAATATTTTGTACACTTATTCCACTTATTCCTAGTGTGCCACTGGTTACGGTGCCGCGTGCCATTGGTGGCACGCGTGCCAGGGGTTGCCGACCCCTGATATAGACGGTTCGTCCACACGAGGCCGAAACGGAGCAGCGGCTTCGGAGTCCGAAACCGATACACTTTGAAAACGGCTCCCAAAGTGGGTAAGTCTGGAGACGAAACGCTTGCGGCTCCGTGTGTACGCCCTATACGATCATTTCCTGAATCGATGACGCCGTAGCCCCGCCTCTCCCCACCTCTCCTGCTCACCCCCGCGTCGTTGATGCGTTTTGCCAACAACAACAACAATGGCGGATCACAGGGTTGCTTTCGTGCTCCAGACGCTACTGACCATGCTACAGATGTTAGTGCAAAATCTACAGCTCCTCTACCACAACCATCAGCAACAAGTGGACATGGAGAACTACATGAACTACATGTTGCTAAATCCACCGTGGAGAATAACCAGAAGGGCAACCAAGCAACCATGGCAACCATGCTTGGGGGGTCTTATTCGCTGCTTTTGGTGTATTTTGTGGCGGAAGTACAGCGCCACTTACAGGCCCGGCATATGTACTACAGCGTCTCCAGCGTCTCCAGCGGTTTCGAGTGGTTTCGAGCGGTTTCGAGCGGTTTTGAGTGGTTTCGAGCGGTCTCGTGTGGACGGACACGTTTCTTGAGCCGATTCCGAGTGGAAGGAAGACTTTTTTGAAATCGACTTCGGTTCGAAATCGGTTTTGGCTCCGTTTCGTCTCCGTGTGGACGGGGCCTAAAAGCACAAGTAACCAGGTGGCTAAATGATGCATAAGTAAGTAGAATGCATATTAAAACACACAATTCATTCGACTGAGATTTAATTTGAAGAATTCTCTAATGCAGAAAACACAGGATTTCTCTCTAAATGAAATGTCCATCCGATAGGGAAATAAGTAATCACCATTAATCTAAATGTTTATGCTGGATCATTTCAGTCATAAAACAATTATTTTTATTTCGAACAAATGGTCCTTTTAAATGATTTTTTAGCATAGATTCAAAGATTAATCTAATTTAATGATCTAATATATAGGGAAATACTGAAAGAACTATACGTTAATTGTGAAAAACAATTTTGCAAATAGGGTAACCTGAAAGCAATATTTCAGATGCAGAGTACACTGCTGTGGAAATAATAATGTATATGTATAATGAGCAGCAAGTTCACCTCTGGTTCTCACTGAAATGAGTTCAGGTTCACCACACAACGAGGCCATCTGTTTCTTAATGAGAGAATCAGACTACAGTTAGGGCACTTCCTGCTGCAGGCTGCGTGTGATTGGTCCATTTAATTCATGAACTCATAGCCGATGTTTTCCAGACCAATTCTATCAAATGCTGCTTCTCAAACAATGTATACATTTTTTTACGAAATTCAATCAGCAGTATAATATGAACCCTACTAATCTTTGCAAACTCTTTACAAACAACGGTCTGTGTGGATTTTCACTCGGTCACTTTGATTACAGACATCTACAAACCTCTGTGATTATTATGAAGACACAGTAGAGACTTTTCCTGATAAGGCTATATGATGTAAAACACAGAAATAAGAACAAACCTTTCTGCTATTTATTTGCCTGTCAGTATCACGGCTGTCAGTGTCTGTGACCTCACCAGCAGAATCTCAAAGTGCTTTGAGCCTTTTAAGTGACCTTCAGTTGGCTAAATTGAAACAAAAATGCAGGTAGAAAATGTGCTAATGGTTTGTCCTTTTCAAATATAGTCTTTATATTTGCAAAAACAAATTTCACTAAAACGACTACATAATAGACCAGTCAACTTAAAGTGGACCTATCATGCTATATTTGAATAATATAGTGTAGGACCATACCTATATAAGGCATATTTATACTTTTTTCTTTTCAAAATACCAAACAGATCATGCATTTTAGCCATGCCTCATTTCGCTCAATTTGCACTTTTTTTTAGCTCTGCTCTGCAAGGGCAGATTCAGTGAGAACAGCACCATCTACTGGCCTGGCATATGTACTACAGCGTCTCCAGCGCTTTAGAACGGCAATGGCCGTGGCTGTCTCCTCCTGATTGGTGGAGTTGGCCCAATAGCCGTAGCGCCACTGTCCTGACGTCAGGACAGTGTTCAAATCTGGATCAGTTTTTATCAGATCCGTTGCAGCCCCTTTTTTAGAGATTTGGGTATGGAGGAAAATAGAGAGGGTTGTGTTTTCTGACACTTGGTGAGTTCCCTGGAACACCGGGGACACATATTCATGTATAAAAGACGTACAAAAGTGCATTTTGCATGATAGGTACCCTTTAAGTAACGAGCCTGTCTTGAAAATGTAAGAAGTAGAAAGTGCAGGTATTTGTATTAAAAATGTAAGGAGTAAAGTACAATGTTGATACCAGAAAAATCTACTTCAGTACAGTAACAAAGTATTTGTAATTCACTGCTTCCAACCTCTGGTTCTGACCATGCAGTTTTGCCTTGCCTGTCTGAATCAAGTATTTAAATAAAGGCAGTTTATGTTGAGCATCTGTCTTCTGCATTTGGTTCCACCTTTTTACAACCTAGATCCTCTTTCAGTGTTGAACAATTACACACCAAAGCAAATGTATTGTATGTGTAAACCTGCTTGGTATTAAACCTAATGCTGACAATGTAAGGGGAAAAGGACACAGAGTGAAACCTTACTTGAGAGTGGTCATCTCGGTGAGGGAGGGCTGTGTGGCCTTCAGGTAGCTGGCCCGGCGGGCCTGCACCTTGGGGAGGGGCTTGGTGAGACTCTCCTCAGAGTCTCCGCTGTCGTCCTCTGCCATGGCTTTGACGTAGCTGCCGCTCCTCATCCTCCGACACGGGATGTCGTCCTCCTTCCCCAGCGGAGAGAAGCCGCTCCACTCGTCCTGAGGGACCTGCGGCCCGGGTGCAAAGGTCAGAGAAACACAGTCAGAGTCCACTCCATTGCTGTCGGAGTCCCAGCCACCAAACTGGCTAGCTAAACTGTCCTGATGGTACATGGAAGCTACAGAAACAGAGCTAACATGCTGTACAACAATACACACGATACACAGCTAGCATCCACAGACTGGACTAAACTGATGGCTGGCATTTCTTTGAATCCACCACTCTTTCACACTCATGCATCCGTGCACAGCGTTCACACCGATGTGGTGCAGGCTGTCGGCTCATTAGCACGAACAGTTTGTGAATGTGCTCGAGTCAGGAGGAAATTTCTCTCTGGCTAATTCATACATCTGCTATTCAGGAGCTCAGAACACAGAACTGTGTCAATGCAAGAGCACAGGATGTGTGTGAGCATTCATGTGTGTGTGTGTTTATGGTATGTCTGCACTGATCTGACCCCAGGACCCCTTTGGTAGTTGAGAAAGAAAGTATTTGGTAACATGCTGACTGGTTTGACTGACAATATTGCACAAAGATAAATAAATGAAATGAACAAAATCCTATCTAAAAAATAACATACAGATATGTGGTGCATGAATGAGTCCTAATACACAGAGATGAGTTAGCATTTTAAAACTTCTGGTTCCATAGTCTCGCAGTTAACATCTTATTGAATTTGTTTTGGTAAGATGACTGAAATAAGGTCTGGGGTTATTGACATAGAATATGTCAGTAAATACTCCAGTGGTGGTTTACACCCCAACAAAGATTCTATGTATCATAATAACAGCGGTTGCTACATGAGACGTACATTAGCGGCCTTTAGCTTAGCGGTGGTGATGCGCAGCCATGTGCCTTTTTTTTTAAGCTTCAAAATTCAAAAAAGTGGTGTTAATATGTGGATATTATCCTGCTAAATAAAACGTTTAAGTATCATGACAAAGACCTTCTGCAAATTGCTTTCTGTGGAGGGAACACTCGTGATGCTAACTTCAGGGACAGCCTCCCACAATACAACATCACTGCACCACTCTATAACATTCACATTTGAAAGAACAAAAAATTGAAGCAAATAGATGTAATAGTTTGTTAAAGGTCCCATGTCATGGCCATTTCTACTGATCATAATTCCATTGTTGATGTCTACTAGAATACATTTATATTGTGCAATGTTCCAAACTCACATTGGTTTCTCATACAGCATCTCTGTAAAGTATGTGTATTCACTCTCTGTCCTACACGGCTTGTTGGAGCTTGTTTTCAGAGTTGAAATGTCCTTTTGAAATCTGAGAAAAAATACTTTACAAATGTATCAGTCCCTACAATACCATATCAAAAGTAATACTTATTTCACATAAAAGCAATTCAATGTTATGAGGCAATAAACTAGATTATAATCCCTTGAATATTCTAGTAATATTATAAAGGGAATACATTAAGTCCAAAGTGATCTTGAACACTGGATCAGCAATCATTAAGAATTACTTTATTAGATTGTCTTCATTTTCTGCTTTCCTACATTATGGATGATAATATTGGCTAATAAATCTACATCTTCAGCTTCACACAGGTCTGATCTATGGTCCTCCCTGACAGTGAACGTGTTGACTCCTAGAAGGGGAGCACAGGTGGAGCTAATAACAGTAATGAGAGTCCCTCCATTCAGCCGGGTTACTGACCTGACGGAGGGCAGCAGGTGCCTGAAAGAGTGAAAGAGGCTCACCTGTCAACCCTGTCTCCTAAAAATTACATTCCCACAGAACTAAACTGCATTCTCAATTACGTTTAGCTAGAAACGTGTTTTCTCCCACATTACGTTTGTTTTGGACGTATCTCAAATACGTTTACTTTCTACATATCTTTGCCATTTATTGTCTTGCTTATAATAATGATAATAGTCATTTATTAATATAATTTTAGAGCAAACACATTTTCGGGGTGGCGGCTCACTGTTGTTCAGTTTACCAAATCCGTTATTATGCTGGTTAATGGGTAAATAATCACAAATATTGTTTGTAGTCGTTTCATCTCTCTCTCGATCACAGAGGCTGTGTGCTCCTCCGTGGCGATGACGGCTTGCGCTAAAAAAATTAAATAAACATATTTGTAAAGTTGGGGGACACAAACAGGATTTCGAAAATAGCGGGGGACATGTCCCCCCTGTCCCAGGTGGATATTTTACGCCATGCGTGTGTGTGCGTCAAGTGCAATAAATATATATGCAAGTTGCAACACACAGAGTAAAACTCTGCCCCTCATGTGCTGTATAGGCTGGCATGATAGGCTGTTCAATGGGGCTGATGTGTTGTGTAGATTCTGCCAGAAGGAAAATCAGCGGGGAGGTGCCACATTGCTTTTCTTCCAGACTGCAACGCTGGTCCCGCAAATCAAGCAAGAACGTGATTGGTCGATATTCATTGTGGGGGTGGGGGGAGGAGGGGTGTTAGATAGATATAGAGTTGTAGTAAGTAGATAGAGTTCGCTATGATTGAGGTTTCGTTTATGCATAGGGTAGATTCTTTTAATTACATTTCCTTTTTTGTTTTGTGTATTTTATACATTTTGGATTTGCTTGGCGAGCTATTTTTAGAACATGCCCCGCGGGCGACTAAGTGCCCGCTGGCACCGTGTTGGCTACCCCTGCACTGGACTATCCTTTACAAAAGGAAAGGAAAACTTGATGTCCCACAACATTTACAGGGACGCACCAATCTGAAAACAGCATCTTTCTTTAACCCCATGATCTTTTCTTTCTGAGATTAACGAAAAGTGGAAAAAACATAGGACCTGATTTTTCTCAGAAGCGTGAGCGTCAGTGAAGTGATGTCTTTCATCTTAACTCTTCTGCATCTCAACATGCTGCCGAATTGAAACTACCGATAATAACAGCAGGTAAAGCTGTGACAAAATGCAGAGGTGGTAGAAGTACTCAGATCTTGTACTTGAGTAAAAGTAGAAGTACCAGAGTGTAGGAATACTCTGTTACAGTAAAAGTCCTGCATTCAAAATGTACCTCAAGTAAAAGTAGAAAAACATTAGCATCTAAATATAGTGAAAGTAGCGACAGTGAAAGTAGTCATTGTGCAGATTGGTCCATTTCAGAATAATATATATGATATGTTTTATAATGATTGATCATTAAAGTGTTCTCAAAGCTGGTAAAGGTGCAGCTAGTTTGAATGACTTTGTATACTGCAGGGTAGCTTGTGAATTTACTCCAGGTGGAACTAAAGTCTGATTTAACACTTGGTTATATTTCACATCAGTAATCCAAATCTGTAAAGTAACTAAAGGTATTAAATACATGTAGTGGAGCCAAAGTACACCATTTACCTCTGAACTGTAGTGGAGTAGAAGTAAGAAGTAGCAAAACAATTTAAATACTCAAGTAAAGTACATGTCCCTCAAAATTGTACTTAGCTACAGTACTTGAGTAAATGTACTTTGCACCACAGCAACATGATGCTTGTATCTAGTTCTAACATACATCCCAACACAGCTCATTATATTTAATTAGCCACACCTTTTAGCGTGTTTGTGCTAGCTGTGGTGAATCCAGCACCTTCAGCGGCTCCAGACCAGAGGCCAGAGTGAGGATCTGACAGACTACAACAGACAGCAGGAGAATTGCACCGCTATTGTGACTAATTATATATGAATCACAGAGGAAAAGAGGCTGAACTGATCTGCCGGGCTCAATGTCTTTCTCCCTCTGCATGTGTGTGTGTGACGTCAAAGAGACACAAATGAGCAGTTTGGCTATAAAAAGAGAATGCGGGGAAAGGACCAGCTGCAGGAGCATCAGCAGCTCTCACCCACGCACAGCCTCACTTCACTGCAGCGCCACTCTCTCCTGCTGTAATGAGCGAGGAACATCGGAACACAGCGGAACACAGCGGAACACAGCGGAACACAGCGTAACACAGCGGAACACTGCGTAACACAGCGTAACAGCCTCACTCTGTCATTAGTGCACATGCTATTGTGGGAGATTTGGTGCATTTCTGAGACATCTGTGTGTCCGTGTTCTGAGAAATATGTGCATGTGACAGTCAGTGACAGTGTGTTAGACTGAAAAAACTGAAACGTTGACTTTAATTAAGTGTATTATGTCAACAATTTCTCATCACTGTATTAGGTTAGTTGAAAGCAATATTTAGCAATAGTTGAACCTAATATTTTCAATTCAAACTTAATATTATTCCTTTCAACTAAACTAATAGATTTATGTGAAATCTGTTCATATCAATTACAGTCAATGTTTCTGTTTTTGCAGTACAACCAGGCTTGGGGGTATCTGATAGAAAAAAGGTAACTGTATTCCCCTACAGTTACATTTTAAAATAAAGATCAATATATTATAGGGAGAATTGCCGCCTGAATTTTCTTATTGGTTATTATTTAATTTAAATATCATTTTACAAATGCAGTTGTTGATCACCTGATTTATTATACAAAAATATTATGTTTCATTTCAATTAGTCTATTAACCAGAAACACTTATAAACTACTGTTTTGTCGTTTAAGATGATACATTTTGTATCCTAATTATCTTGGTCTCTGTAACATTGCTCTGTTTTCTTACATAATACACCTAAGTAAAAAACATCTTACTGATATTTCCTTTCTCTTGTATTTATTTGAATTGCATTTGACACTATTGGTGTCCACAGCACTCAGTATATATATGGTACAGGCTGTGGATTGTTTCCTTGGCAACACCTGTCTGTTTGGATGGCTTAAGGCAGCAGCATCAGAATAACAGGTATTGGAACAGAGAGGCTGAAGATAATAATTTGCAGATTCAACATATAGAGCCGGGGGGATGGGGACAGCTTTAATGTGTTCAGACACCACTGAAGCTGTGTTTGGTCTGCCGCAATCAAAGAGGACTATATTGTTTGAAAGGGAAATGTCGGTCTTCCTCAGCTGTTACTTTAATGCTTAGTGTTAGAATTTGTATTTATTTGAGTGTGTGTTTTGAGACTTGTCTTTGATTTGTTCTGTT